GTTTCATTAGTCAATTAAAAACCGATTTTAGATTCCAAAGCTGTTTACAACTAGGATGCCGTGCGTTTACAGATAGCAACTTGCTATCTTCACCCTCGCTGATTGCACGTAAATTCCAAGAGAAAGAGACAATGGGGGCAGAGCTGGGAAAGTTACTCTGATAAAGTAACTAAGTTACTTTCCAAAAAGTAACTTAAGTTACTTGAGTAACTAGATACTTAGAAACAAAGTTACTTTTAAAAAAGTTATTTTAAAAAGATACTTTCGAGTTGCTTGCTTCGAATTTCAACAAATTAATAAGAAACAGCTGAATTCTGAATAACCAAAAGTTTTATTTTCATATGTATATATAAAGACATAATAGAAACACATATAATACATTTATCTATACAGATATACTTCCTCATTCCGCTCGAGCTTTCCATTTGCTTTTAGTAAAAGCAATAGTATTAAATTTGATGGAAACATTTCGAATATTTGGGTCTTTGCAGCATCTGAAGGTCTCTTGAGGAGTCTTCCAAATATTGAGTAATTCAAGTTCTATCTGGCTCCGCTTAGTCGAGACGTCTACCTCACCTTTATCGTCGTCGTCAAATTCAAAAAAATGCCTTGTTGCTTTTGCCGGTGTCTCAGAGTTAGAGAATTGATCTTGCTTGTGGTAGCTCATTTTCTTTCACTAGTTTCATGGCCTCGTTGATTGCAACTTTGGAGTTTTCATCCATCGCATTTTGAATAATGGATGACACACAGTGGCTATTATCGCTTCTTTCGCCATATCAGTATCGTCCATCCATGCACTCGCGTTCATGTAAAAAAACTTTGAAAAGTGAGTTTTTAGTGCTTCTGTACATACATTTATGATTCCGGATAGGTATTTAGTTCTCCTGTTTCAAATAATGCTCAAATTTTCTATAAAGGTTTAGAATACTTGGTCAAATATATCCATAGTAGCAATTGTTCTCTCCTTGCAATATGTTCAGTGTGTGGCTCAACGGTTTTAGAATATTGCAGTACTCCTCTATGTATAGCGGATCTGCATCTTTAATCTGTCAGAAGTAGAAATATCTAAATTTTCATTCAAAGCAGGAAAATGTTCTTTGGATTTTAATATCTGGTTTAACGAGTCATACAGGGAATTCCATCTCGTTATGCCGGGATAACTGAGGTCGTGCCCAAAAGTCGATTTTATGATTTCAGCTGCTTTCGGTCTTCCTGCTTTATTCCACAAGACAGAGCACTTGTGCATTGCAGAGGTATGACGGGAACGCAGAGAATGGTTTTTATTAATTGGTTTCATTATATCGCTTGTAGCAATTAAGTTTAATGTGTGGCTCGCGCATCTGTGATGTTTCGGTATCTGGATCGAGTCTTCATCCTCCTCTCCGTCTTTATTCCCCGATAATGTTAACTCACGGTCTTCCAACGCTGTGTTGAGTTCATCATTACTTCCTACGCAGTCATTATCTTCAATATCTTCGGCTGGCTGGTTTTGAAGAGTGTTTAGAACGATGTCAGAAACCATTTTCACTCCGTGCTCCTTAAATGCCTTCACGAAATTTGATCCGTTATAGTTGCTGTAATTTTCAAGTAATTCAATCCGAATTCGCTGTGAATTTCACCCAATAGTTCTGCTATTTTGTCGTAGCTGTGTGTACCTCTAAATCGCCTGCAAGCTAGTACAGCTGAATGGCGCTGGAGATCCGCTCCTAGCCAGTGGCATGTAATTCCCAGGAAACTTCGTTTCTTAGACGACCAAATATCAGCAGTGGTGCAAACATAACCAGCTGATACAATTTTTGTTCGTATTTCAGACAACAATTTTTTGTTCATTTTCACCATTTTGGCCTCTAGACATAATTCTGTATGGCATCCCAGAAAAAAAGCTCTTTAAAATATTCTAGATTCAATAATAGATACTGCTGACATCGTTCCCACTACAAATCGAATAATTCTTTCTTCAAATTCCGATTGGGAAATATGTTGTCCTTTCCAACTATGACGAATATCAGTTAGCTTTTGGTGGACTGATGAAGCACTGGAGGACGCAGACGCAGAGCTCGGAGCGCAATCTGTCTGTTTTTGATGTCTCTTCTGTTGTTTGTAAGAAAGGTATTCTTGAAAAGCATGTTGGTGATTCTTCAGATGCTTTAAAAAGTTAGCAAAAGACGTAACCGAACTGTGAATCTCTTTCTTTTTTGTAGGCAAATTTGATAATCGGCATGAATACTTTTATTGTCGCAGTGATTAATTTTAAAGAATTTTCCATCAAAAAGTGGGGATTTAATGTGAACCTCTATGCTTTGTTCAGCTTCCTTTTCCTCACATTCACTTCCACACTTGTGGACAAAAACGAACTACAACTTTTTATTGAAGCATCCCCCAAGCTTCATGGTTTTTCCAGCAAAGTAGTCCAAAATACCAACTGCACGCCTCTTCTTTGGTACCGGTCCCGGGATTCAAAGTGACCGCCGCCCATTTGCTGAACCGGTTCGATCCCTGGGGTGAACTTCGTCTCCAGCTGATTAGCTGTGGCATCCGTGACCGACATCCATGACCAGGGGCAGGGTTCCGCATTCCTCTGATGGCGCCTGAGATTACTCTACCGATACCGCCGACACCGCTAATAATGTACTCTTTTTTTTCTATTCATTAAATTGCATTTCTAATTATTCAGTTTAACTTTATTAGTCGCCGTTGGTGCGACATAGGTCGTAGCATTATTTCCATTCCATTTTAAAGAACTTACCATTTCTGTTTAACACCCCGCCTATGTTGTTCCACAAGCGATCTTTATGTATATTGTTACAGTAGTTTTTCGAAGTCATGTACAGGTCTTCGTATTTTCTAACTTCTTCTAACCAGTTGCTCGTCGAAATTCAAATCCTCCATGTTTAAATGAACAAAAATCTTGAAAAACAAAAATATTTACAGATTTGTTGCGATTGTTGATCGCGTTCGATACGCGTTTGTATTCACACTATACGGCACGGGCAGACACCGACACGTAAAATATTGTCATCAGATCAATCTTGACGGTCCCGGCGCAAGGATTTTTTCCTTAAGCATCCTCCCGAGTCCTCGTGCTCTACCGAGTCTTTATGCTTTACCGAGTCCTATAGAACGGTTGCGTACTTTGCGGTTTTGCCCATGTGTGTTCGTTTTGTATTGTTGTGTAGTGGCGGGAAAACGTGGTCTTTGATTGTCAGTAATTTATTAGAATTCACTCGTATTTAGTTTTTGATTTGAATATGGAAGATTTAGTTAAACAGGCAAGTACCAGTGTTTATTATATTCCTAGAAAATTAAATATTACCAATATCTATCCGTTTTTTTTCAATAGTTTATTCCGAAAGAATTTACGTATTCGATTAAAATTGTGAAAACAATTGATGATGCAGTTATGGAGTTCAAGTTAGAGGTAGAATGTGAAGCTTGGAGACCTTACAAAAACCAACTACACTGTAGGTATATTGATGAATATAATAAGTAATATATTGGGGGTTAATTACACCTACATACCTGAAATGTACACAACGCATCATTTCGTAATGCCTACATTAAAAACCCTTAGAAATTATTGCTTGTAACATTTGCTTAAGTTGTTAGTATTGTGATTATGTGAAAAACCATGTCCTTGTCGTTTCGCCATCTTCATCTTCACTCAACTACTAAACTTAACTTGGTTTTTGTAAATGAGCAACGTAAATAGTCAGGTGTAGCGCCGAACGCATGCGCTCTATAGGACTCGGTAAAGCGTAAAGACTCGGTAGAGCACGAGGACTCGGGAGGATGCTTAAGGAAAAAATCCTTGCGCGTAGAACTTTTCCTGGTTTATCATTCAACACAACTTACGCCGAACGTCTATACTGAACAGTACGGCGTAGGGTAGCACGCCATGTCTGAAACCCGAGTACTCATTGGCGAACGACTGTAAAAGCGGCCGTTACTGAAACTAAAATATCGTCAGTTGGGGACGCGTTGGGAATTCTGCTCGCGATCGTACGTAGACCGCTCCCACTCTCGTAGCTAGCCGATGTCTGTCGGTTTTTTACTCGAGCATAAAGAGATTTACAGTTGGTTTGTGGTGGTGCTCGATGGGAAAACGGACGTACGTCTACACTTCAAAATGTTCCAATAACCAATTTGCCGAATTGACGAAATGTGTCATGATCGACAGATCGTGCGGATGCAAACAATCCTGTGGGTTATTTCACGAAACATTTTGAATAGATTCAGTCATGAAAAAGTAGCTCACTGTTGAAAATGAGTGTCTAAAAGAGCAATTGGGAAACGTTAAAATTGTTGGAATATGTAGATACTATACGGAAATGAAGCTTCACTACGGACCGTACAAATGACGGATATGAAAAAATTTGGTGTGGCTAGCACAGATACCACCCGCACGATGCAATACAGTTCAGCCACATGAATATGGAAAAATGTCTAAAATTGGCGGTTTTTTTGTTACTTTGACACACTACGCATATTCTTCCTTTTATGTCTAAGAATATGTGTACCAAATTTGAGTCTAATCGGTTCAGCCGAAAATAAGAGCACAGAGAGATAGTTCGACGGACCGCCATCATCAAGATTTTGTTTGATTCAGATTCTTGGTGCTTCAAAACGTAAAAAAAGTGGAAGTCATTTTTTACCCTAATGGTCGCCGATCGTACATGAGGGTAACATTGTTTCTTGACCAAAATGTAAACAGGGTTGTTATTGTGCTTTGGCCCCAAACTGAATAATTTTGTCTTTTTGCAAAAAGATTACCTTGACAGGTCATCGCCCCAAATAGCCAGTGAAACTTTCGCTAAGACGATCTAAGTTCTGATTTGAAAATAACTTGCTTAAAAATCCCAGGAAGGACGTCGAAACAAATACGCAACGTAGTAGATTCTATTGCATGCAATGTGCATTCATCTGATATGGTAACATTATGCAATGTTAATTGGTTATAAATTACAACACAATTTTAAATCACATAAAGGATATTTTAAAATAAATGATCTACATTTTAATAAACAATTTACACAAAAAATTATATACAGGAAAAGTTAATAATTAAACTAACACAATGTTAGATATTGAACTTGCGCAGTCTATTACTTCATCGTAACCTTCATCTTGAACGTTTTCTTCGTCGTTTGTTTCTGTGGTTAAATGCGTATCAACTGAATAAATGTTTACATTCAATCCTGAATCGGAACAAGATCGTTTTTTGTACACTTTTAATGAACTAAAATCAGTTTGACTTTCACCAACAGGTACCAGAGAGACTTCCTCGTTCATAATATTTGATGTACTTAAGCTAGAATTCAGTCCATAGAACTTTGGATATTCTACGCCGGTTAATTTTTCTAAACTTCGGCCTCTACTTAAAAGTATACCGCCAACTTTAAAATCAGAATCCATCCTATACTCCAAATTGGAGGTCTCCGCATTTGACTCGTCCTGCTCCTTTTCTGTTGTAGAAAAAGAAGATTGCTCAATTTCTGACGTGACCGTACTAGCGGATTCGCACCCGCTCGACAAAGAGCCCTCGTCACTATCTATCGTGGTAAAATTAGTAGCTATCGTTAAATTTCCAAACCAGTTCCTTTCCAAAGTATCATTACAAGATTCAACAAATTCATTCGACAGCGATTCTTGAGCAAGTTGCTCCAAGATACGATTACTCTTTTCGTCAACGGAAAGGTCGGAGTTATCATCAAAAACGGTATTGTCACTAAACGTCACTTTACGTTTGTCCGAAACTTCCTCCACAACACTATCACAGACATTTTCTTTTTTGGTAAGTACACTATTTGCAGTCTGTTCACTATATGCTAAATTTGTTCGTCTTTCAAAAAGATTGCTAGCACTTTCATAATAACGTAATGGCGGCTTCTTCTTAGAAGAATGCGTCAACTGTTCGTCTTCCTCCTCCAAATTTTCTTCGATGCTAACGAGCTTTGGTGCAGATTTTGATCGTTCTAAAGGTGGACGGTAGTTGTTCGACCCGGTGCTTAAAAGAATTTTTCTTATGGGCATAGAAGGATTGTCGTAAATCGAATTGACCAGCGATAACCGAGCGTTTTGCCTTGAAACCTTATCCTTCTTAAACTCAGTCAGTGCCAAACGCAATGAATTCTTCAAGTTCCCCTCAAGTTGACTAGCAGTTGCGGATGATGAACATAAAACGGCGTGGCATCGTAATTCGTGGCGGAGGCGTTTTCCTTCGTGTCGATACACCCAGCAAAATATTCGAGGGAAATGCGAGGGAGCGGCACAAAACGTCAGTCTATTCGCCCAATACTCCGTTAAGCCGTGATCCTTTGTGGTCGCTTTTAAACCACCACCGCCGACTGTCAGCAGCATGCATACGTCAGGTCGCGATGATTGGGTGTAATTGCGCCATAAAGTTGCTAATGGTTTCTCTACACAACCATCACCTGCAATCAAAACAATCCCTAATTAAGAACTTTCAATTACCTAATTGTTACATAAACTTAAGAATAGGCTACCAATTTGTTTATTCTAAGTTGGTTCGTTATACTACGTCTACAAAAAGTAATCAACTTGCAGTGTAGGTACCAACAGAATGGGTTATAAGAGATCGTTAATATGCTCACAAAAGACGATTGACTCCATGTGGTAATTATAATCAATTAAGATTATAATTACCTACACTATTGCCAATTCTGAATAGCACAGAGGCGTGCACAAAATACGTAATGATTGGAAAGTATTTAGCTTTTTGAATTTCTCGTTTCCGGTAATATCTTCCAAAATTATGCGAGTCTCGTTAAAGAAATGAACGGCGTGGAAAATTTTTCACTATGGTGAAAGTAACCCTATTAAATAAGTTTACATTACACATTATTGCATCAAGATAACGTATTCATTTGTGAAATTTTTATGGCTTAAACAGCATTTAGTAATCGTATAATGTCGGTAATTTCTTAGGTGAGAACACCGCATCTTTATGTTTTAGAAATCTCGAAACAATATAAACGTTCGGTATGCAGGATTAGCCAACACCTTTCCTCCACGGATGCAAATGACTCATGAAAGAAGAAATCAACGATTTATTTGAATATTCGTAGATAGAAACTTTGCTTTCAGACAATACCCAATTGTTTTTTCGGTACTGTTTAATTTACCATAGTATCTATTTGCATGCATAGTTAATGAATGGATTATCGTTGCAACACTGTTGGAGTTCAATAACTAATATTTCAACCTCAATGGTAATACTACTATAAACAAAGTATAGTTATTTCAAAATAGGAATGTTAGCAGCTGGCCATGAATTTGTAAAACCAATCCGTATTAATAATTGTACGAGTATAAACGTTTTTGTAAAAGAATAATAATCAATGAATGGCGAATTAAACATAAATCTAAATTCCCATTGTGATGTTGTGTTGCTTGTATATACGAGTAGTTCGCCGCTAACTCAGTAAATAAATCCTCACATTATGAAACAAATTTAATGTTGGTTGTTGTTGTTGTTTGTTGTTTAATGCACAGCCAACGAAATCATTTTGGCCAGGGTCAATTGAACCAAACTCGAAATTCATTTTCTGTGATTTATGATAATTGTACTGTCAATAATGATTATAACTGTCCTCACTTATGTTTGATTTAGTTTTATTGAACGAAATGTAAAATTTTAGAATTTAACTACGAGTATTAAAGACGAGATTAAAGGCCATCAAAAGTTTAACGAAAGGGAACGACATTTGAACGAAGTCTTCCGAGTGGTATTTCCGATTTGGAAATATGTTCCACTAATAGAATTTCCACCTAATCTGATCCTCATTGGTCGGTATTTAAAAAATAATGCCATGCTATTGGTTACATCATATGTGAGTTGAATTGTAAGACAAATACAAAAATCCATCAATTAATATACACTGTGTCCAAGATAAGGATGTCTATCATGGGGATCTTCGAAATCATAGAAGATGCGACATTGGTGAAATTGGAGAAAAGTTGCAATTAAAGAGTTATTATTGTGCTTTAAAGAAAACCATATAATTCCGATTACTTCCGAAGATATGTCAGAAAAACCGAAATTTACCGATTTGGTTTTTATTTTTTTCTGATCACTTTTTGCGCTCTACAAGACACCGTTGAGACATTTTCAATACAACGTTTCGTTTCGGAGAAATGATAATCAACTTTATTTTGGTACATGGCCCGTAAAATAAGTACACATTGTATTGAGTCAAAAACAGTGCATTTGAGTTGAAGTATTTCAGTATTAACTTCGAAAACGAGCCAGGAACTCCTATTTTGTTTGAGAGTAGGTATTCCCTATTGTTGCTGAGACATCATCATCAACTTTATTTTTTATATGGCCTGTAAAAAAGTACACACTGGCCATTTTTTATGCAGAATTCAACGACATACGCACACGCAAAAAAACAAAAGTTGGAAACAGGACGGTGCACCCGCGTACAACGCCCTAATCGTACGAAAATATCCATCGGACCAATTTCTTGGAAAATAGAATTTGTCCGAAAGGTATTTTCGAACGACTATGGCGTTGTGCGCAGAAGCACCATCCTGTTGAAACCAACATTGTTACCAACTTTTGTTTTTTTAGTGTGTGGTACAGCGTTGTATTCTTAATAAAAAATGCCACTTAATACAGTAAGTAATTTTTTTGCGGGACATAAAAAACTAAAGTTGATGATGATTTCTCCGAAACGAAACGTTGTATTGAAAATCTCTCATTGGTGTCTTATAGAACTCAAAAAGTAGCTAAGAGAAAGTGTTTTTTTGGTATCTGTCCAAAGAAAGAAGAAAAAAAAGAAGAAAGAAACTAAAATAAAAAGGAAATCAGGAAATTTCGGTTTCTGTGGCATATCTTCGAAAGTAATCGGAATTCTCTGGATTTCTTTAAATCATGATTATATCTCTTTAATTGCGCATCGTTTCTCCAATTGGACCATCATCAGGTACACTGGATTTTTAATACCTCTAATCATTTTGTGTTAATCATATCCCCCCAGTTGTTTCATTCCATAAAAAAATCATTTGTTTGCGCTTCAAAAAACGATGCTACTTCGCTTTTCATATCATCATCTGAGGAAAATTTGCGGACCGGGTATATTTTGTACACGTTTGAACAAAAAGAAACCACATGGTGCTAAATCTTGGCGCGTGGGGTGTATGCGGTAAATTCTGTGGTGCCACGGTTTGCGAAATCAGCTTGAACACGACTAGCCTTGTGGGCCCTGAAATAATCGTCCAACAGCGCAGTTCCTGTTAGAAATGGCATTCTTCCCGTGGTGGTGCAGCGGTACATTCCTGTGAGTATTGAAATTGTTCTTGTTAGTTTTTATAATAGGTAAATAACCTCTCGGGTAGGAGCGGGCAGTAGAATAACCCTACCGCAGAGGGCACTGCGTATAAGTTTTAGGGTAATAATTTTCGTTTGGACACATTGGACACAAGAAGCGCGTTCTACTTGCTCAGTAGCGGAGTACCTATACCCGTCAGTCATGCTAGTCCCTCATTTCAGCTGTCAGATCTACCAGCTTTGAGGGCAACCCGGTACATGAATGCACGGTATCGGGGCGTGATATAAATTTGGGGCACTTTATTACGAGAAACTGTAGCTTCTGAACCTATGTAGTTCTTTACAAGGAAGGTAAAAGTAATTGCTTCGATTTCTAGCGTCGTGTTTTAGTCGATAGGTCAATTAAGTGAGTCTGAGTATAATTAAATGTGTTGTAGTATGATTCGTTTGTTAAATATTGTACAGAACTTGACCTTGCTGCACTACCCCTCTCTAGTTTTCTTGTATTTATACCTTAAGCCACTTTTGGCATTCGTACTAGTTATGTAGGCGAGTAAAGTTGATACAGTCCACTATTTGCTATTAAATTATTTAAACGAACATACGAGTATTTATTTTTTAACGAAGAGAATACAACATATTTTATGGTCCATTCGTTCCGGATTATCAGAAGTCGAAATTTAAATAAACGCGATTTTTAATTTATTAATAAAAAAGTTTTGTGAGAAGCCGAAGCAAACTTCCAGCAAGCAGGTAAAGGATAGAACGACTCATCAATCATCCAAGGACATTTTTCGAAAGCAACATTCCAATCGTCGGTTTATGGAGCAACTGTACACCAGCTCGGGAACTCATTAAATCTATTGTTCTGAGGCAGGTACTCCAGGCCAAATTAGTAAGTCGATCCTTTGTCAATACATTCCTAAGATTTTATTATTGTACAAACATTTTTGCCAATTTATTGCAAATTATAGTTCGTAAATTGATATATGTACTCATATTCCTTACGTATTAATTATGGCGGAATTAACGTTAAATTCATGTTTAAATCAACGCAAACAACTTAAATCGTCATTAACGAGATTTCACAATTACGTCACAAATTTTGATCATACCAAAGATATTACTGAATTAAAGGCTCGTCTTCAACGGGGCGAATCGCTCTTAACTGATTTCGAATTAAATTTGCGCGAATTAGGAGGTTTAGAAGTTGATAAAGATTATTCAGAGGAGTTAGAGGAATTTGAGGACAAATATTTTCGAATCATTTCCACTGCACGCAACATTATTGAAAGCCGTGCCGAATCAAATGTTTCTTCTACTGGTAATTCACAAACGCATTCTACATCTCAATCTAATAAATTGATTAAATTGCCAACAATGAATCTACCGTTATTTGACGGAAGATACGATTGCTGGATGAATTTCTATGATATTTTTGAAGCCCTAGTAAACAAAAATGACACATTGACAAATATTCAACGGTTTTTTTATTTGAAATCATCCTTGAAGGGAGAAGCCGCTCATTTGTTGAGTTCTTTAGAGGTTACTGATTCAAACTACGCAATTGCGTGGGGTTTACTTAAGGAACGATATGAAAATAAAAAGCTTATTATTAATACGCACGTTAAAGGCATTTTTGAACTACCCCAAATAGTTAAAGAATCACACAAGGCATTACGTTCCCTGATTGATAATTTCAATAAAAACGTAAGATCCCTTCATAATTTAAAATTACCCACCGATCAATGGGATGTTTTACTTATTTATATTATTACGAACAAATTGGATAGCAATACGAAACACGAATGGGAAAAATCATCCGTTAACAACCCCGAGTTACCTACTTTAGATGAATTGTTAAAATTTTTACTCAGCCGATGTCAAATTTTAGAAAACTTAAATGATAAAATTCAGCAAGGAAAACCATATTTACCAAAGCCGTCATATCCCATGAGTCATGTAGCAATTAACAATACAATAGCTTCCAGTTGTTATTATTGCAAGGAGAATCATTACCTGTATCAATGTCCGAATTTCTTAAAATTGACCATTCAAAATCGCTGGAACGAAGTAAAGAGATTAAAACTATGCGTCAATTGTTTCAGAGGTAATCATTACAATAACGAGTGCAAGAGTGCTTCGTGCAAAAAATGCGATAGAAAACACAATACCCTACTTCATAATAATAGTTTCGAGCAACCACGTGATGAGGGTAACCAATTGATTAAGGCATCCAGTAGTCATCAAAAAAACAATATGGATACACAAAATGAAGTGCAAACACATTTATCAATGATTCCTAGCCCTATTGAAAATACAAAACTTGTAGCACACTCCTTTATAAACGAACCTAACGCTATTTTATCTACCGCTCAAATTCATATATTAGGAGCTAACGGAAATATTATTAAATGCAGGGCATTATTAGACTCTGGATCGCAAGCAAATTTTATCACACAGGAATTGTTTGAAAAATTAACACTAAAGGGTTCAAAAATTGACATACCAATAGCGGGAATTAGTAAAAGTATTACGCGACTTAGTAAACAAGTGACAACACAGATACGTTCTATTTTTAATGACTTCAATCAAAATCTAACATTTTTGGTATTAAGAGACATAACGGGTAACGTACCTAGTAAAGATATTGACATAAGCGATATTGAAATACCGCGTGGAATCAATTTAGCAGATCAAAATTTTCATTTGTCGAGTAAAATTGATGTTCTATTAGGTGCAGGAGTATTTTGGAGCTTATTGAGTATTGGTCAAATAAAAATTTATGATAAGAATGTAATTTTCCAAAAAACTAGACTAGGTTGGATATTTGGGGGCACGGTAGCTAACTCAAATCACGACATTAAAGTCCTTCATTCCATGAACAGGGACGTCCAAGATCAATTGGAAAGATTTTGGAAGGTTGAGGAATGTAGTTATACACGTAAACTTAGCAAAGATGAATTATATTGCGAAGAACATTTTTTGACCAACTTTAAACGTGACGAATCTGGTAGGTGTGAGGTACGTCTTCCGATGACGGAGGAGAATTTTGATTTTAAAAATTCTATTGATAATGCAATTCATAGATTAAACTCGTTAGAAAAGCGTTTCAATCGCGACCCAGAATTTAAAAGGCAATATCAGGCATTTATGACGGAATACGAATCACTTGGGCACATGACTGAGATCACGCCGGTGACTCAACAGGGATCGATATTTTACTTACCTCACCATGGCGTTCTAAAACAATCTAGCGTTACGACAAAACTAAGGGTTGTGTTCGACGGTTCTTGTAAATCGTCAGCAGGCGCGTCATTAAACGATAAACTATTTGGAGGTCCTCACATTCAGGACGATTTACTATCCATTGTTTTACGATTTAGGAAACATAACGTCATTTTGGTAGCTGATATCGCAAAAATGTATAGGCAGATAAACGTTACAAGTGATCAAAGAGATATGCAGAGAATTATTTGGCGAAACAATCCGACAGAACCTTTGCGTCATTATAGATTAAATACCCTTACGTATGGTACCAGCCCAGCGTCATTTTTAGCAACGCGTTGTTTGCGTCAAATCGGCATTGAGCAAACGCAACATTTCCCCGAAGCCAGTCATGCTATAACAAATGATTTTTACATGGACGACCTGATTACAGGTACGTACACGATAGGTGATGCCATTAAACTAAAAAAAGATATTAGTGCCATTTTGCGGGCGGCAGGGTTCGAATTAAGACAATGGTCATCCAATGAGCGAGCGATATTTAATGATTCCGATGTTGAATCCGAGGTAGAGAACTATTATATCTCCGATGATAAAAATATAAAAACGTTAGGGCTAATGTGGGACACAAAAAGTGATACACTGATCTATTCATTAAATTTTAAGTACGACGAAAAGAAAATTACTAAACGAACAATTTTATCAGTTATTTCGAAAATATTTGACCCACTAGGTTTAATCAGTCCAGTTACCATCAAGGCAAAATGCATCTTACAACGTTTATGGCAAGAACAGTTGAACTGGGATGAATCAGTACCATTATATATTTATACGGAGTGGAAGCAAGTGATATTTAACTTAAAAAACATCGAGACCATTTCATTACCCAGACAGGTAACAATAAAAAATTATATTTCGTTAGAATTGCATGGATTTTGCGATGCGTCCGAAGCAGCATACGGATGTTGCATTTATGTACGCAGTAAAGACGTTTTCGGAAACACGCAGTCAAATTTATTATGTTCAAAATCCAGGGTTGCCCCTCTTAAAACTTTAACAATGCCTAGATTGGAATTATGTGGAGCGCTATTGTTAAGTCAGTTAATGCAAAAGGTTATTATCTCTTTTAATTCAAATTTTGAAAACATTTACTATTGGTGTGATTCAACAATAGCGATAGCGTGGATTAGGTCAGAACCCATAAGGTTTCAGATTTTTGTAGCCAATAGGATAGCAGACATTCAAAAACTAACTAAACCAACGCAGTGGCGCCATGTACGTTCGGAAGACAATCCTGCCGATTTGGTATCACGTGGCGTAAGTGCAGAACATTTATCAAAAAACAAATTGTGGTGGGAAGGTCCCAAATGGTTACACAATGATTCATATTCATTAACAGAGGATACAATTCATTTAATCGATTTGCCAGAGACTAGAAAGCAACCTTTGGTTGGCTCTCTTATTGCCACTACGACGAACGAATTTGAAATTTTACACAAGTATTCCTGTATCCAAAAATTAAAGCGAGTCATGGCATACATATTAAGATTTGTAAATAATATTACTGTAAATAGATTAGATCGAAAAAAGGGAGAATTAACATTACTTGAATTAGAAATAGCTATGAGAAAACTTATATTGTTAGTACAGTCACATCATTTTAAGCTAGAATTAGAGTCACTACGATCATGCAAACCGGTAAGCAAAAACAGTAAAGTATTGTCATTAAATCCATTTTTGGATAAATATGGTATAATACGAGTAGGAGGTAGATTATCAAGGTCTTCATTCAGCGTAGATCAAAAGCATCCTATCATTTTACCAGCCAAAAGTGATTTCACAAATTTAATAATAGATTTTGAACACAAAAACAATATGCACATCGGTGTAGAGGGAACGCTAGGGATTGTCCGTAGGCAATTTTGGCCAATTCATGGACGTAGCACAACTAGAAGGGTGGTTCACAAATGCGTTAAATGTGCTCGATTCAGAAAGCAAACTTTATATCCCATCATGGGAGATTTACCAAGCGAACGGATTCATCCTTCAAGGCCATTTTTATACACTGCAGTTGACTACGCAGGTCCATTACTGATTAAAGATGGTAAAACAAGAAACAGAAAAATATTAAAGGCTTATTTATGTGTCTTTGTGTGTTTTTCCACTAAGGCTATTCACTTAGAACTTGCTGGCGATCTTTCTACGTCATCATTCCTTAATGCGTTTAAACGATTTGTTGGTCGAAGAGGCATTTGCAGTACTCTCTATTCAGATAATGGTACCAATTTTGTAGGTGCTAACAAAGAACTAAAAAACGTAATTAAATTGCTTTCAAATTCCGAATTCTCAGAATATTTTCGGCAAAATTCAATCGATTGGAAATTTATGCCACCTCATTCGCCTCATTTTGGAGGATTGCATGAAGCGGCAGTGAAATCAGCAAAGACGATCATGAAAAGAGTAATAGGTAATTCGCATCTTACTTACGAACAATTGGCAACTGTGTTTGTACAAATCGAGGCAGTCCTTAACTCCCGCCCTATTACTCCACTATCCGAAGACCCTAACGACTTAACCGCCCTGACACCTGGCCATTTTTTGATTGGAGACGTCTTGAGGTGCGTTCCTCAAGAAGACAACACACACATTCCCGTGAACAGACTCACCCACTACACATTATTAAACCAAATGTTTCAACAATTTTGGAGCAGATGGAAAACCGAGTATATTCACACCCTACAAGCGAGAAAGAAATGGGTCAACGCGACGCCCGACATCAAGATTGGTACGATGGTACTCCTGAAAAATGCAACAACACCACCTCTACTATGGCCATTAGGATTTAGGAAGAATAGTGAAACTGCATCCCGGTCAAGACAACATTACCCGAGTGGTCACAGTTAAAACAGCAACTGGGCTCCACAAAAGAGCAATAGTGAAAGTGTGTGTGTTACCCATAAATGTGTAATAAGACTTTACAAACTGTTTACATTTAGTATTTAAGTTATATGTGTATTTTTATATTGTTATGATTATGTTATGTTGAAGGCAACGCTTCAAGGGGGGGTGCATGTTAAATATTGTACAGAACTTGACCTTGCTGCACTACCCCTCTCTAGTTTTCTTGTATTTATACCTTAAGCCACTTTTGGCATTCGTACTAGTTATGTAGGCGAGTAAAGTTGATACAGTCCACTATTTGCTATTAAATTATTTAAACGAACATACGAGTATTTATTTTTTAACGAAGAATACAACACTTCCCGTCTTTAACTGAAAACTAAATTAATAATCGCACTAAAGGCAAATTATTTGTGCATTCCGTTTGAGCGCCTCTACAAGTATAGATAAGTATGTACTTGGCAAGTGTGCGAATAATCGTGATCCCTTTGACTCGGACCAATTTTACCGACAAGAAATGGAAAACTAACGAGTGACAATTAATTGTACAAGTAACCCACTCACACGACATGCCAAGTATACGAAAGTAACGATTATTCGCCAAGTACACGAGTCGTCTGAGCCCGGCTTTAGATACGTTAAGCGCAGTCTAGTTATAGCAAGTCTCTGTTCTGTTGCAACGTTTCGTTTTTTAGATGCCAACATAAAAGTTCTCGAATCTCGAATTTTTGAAGTAAAACTTTTTTAGGGCCGGTAGTAGGCCAAATAGAGTAAGTGAAATGCTCGGTCACGCAAATAGTGAAACGCTCGAAGGGGAATGAGTGGAGTGAGAGAGAGCATGGGTTCCCCCACTCCTCATACCCGCACGGGGAAGTTTTACTCGGTACAGGAAGACTCGGCTCCGCGCAACTCGGCACCGGACTACTCGCCTTCGGGACAAGCCGGCAAGTAATCCCAGAATCCGAGTTATCCCACAGCCGAGTAGTTTCAGAGCCGAGTAATCCCGGAACGGAGTAGTCCCGGAGCAGAGTCGTCCCAAAGCCGAGTAGTCCTGGAGCCGAGTAATCCCGGAGCCGAGTAATCCCAGAGCCGAGTAGTCACGGAGCCGAGTAGACCTGAAGCCGAGTTATGGCAGAGCCGAGTCGTCCGAAAGCCGAGTATTCCGGTGCCGAGTAGTCCGGTGCCGAGTTGCGCGGAGCCGAGTCGTCCGTGTCCGAGTTTTACTTATGTCGTGTGTAGTTCCCACGCACACTTGTTTTTTTTATACTTAGGTCATGTGATATATCATCATATTAGCTTATTTTTTTTCTCTTTCTTAACCCAAACCTTACCTAACCTTAAACATGTATCTGTTAAATTATAAAATAATGCAGAAAAATTAGAAAAACCTTGCCATACGCTTGGAAGGCTAATATATTGCACTTTAAGTTTAGATACCTTTAAATTAACAAAACGTCAAAATTTAACAGAAAAGCAATAAGCAGGTGTTTAATAAGTGAGAAAAACACAGTACTCGTAGATGTGGCTTGTTTCCTTACAACTACTGTATTGCGCGAGAAATAAATCTTAATTTTCTGGAACCTTTTTTCTCCATCGTTTATTGGCCATTCGCGCTCTTCTTCGTTGTACCTTGCACCTGGAAATTGTTCGTTTTGTTTCATTTGCAATTAAGTAGTTTTCTTTTAGCACCTGACGCCTGACGGTCATTCATTATACAGTGAGTTTATTTCAGTTGAATATTTCCTATCAATGCGAAGTATGTTTTGACAACTGAATGCGTGGTTTAACCAAAGAGTAACCCTCTTTGGTTTAACTATTGGATTTGCAGGGTATTGTTTCGCCTCAAACTCCCAATTTAATAAAAGCAACGAGGTACCTTATATATAAAAAAAAAATAAGAACCATTTTATAATTGAATACAGATTATCGAGTTATTATTTATCCCTTTACCTTTTCCTTAAGAGGTCAGAAAAGCAGTGGCGGATTTAAATTTTTGCGCCTCTCTAGACACACCGCCCCAAAATAATCTTTAAATTGCAATAAATTTAAAGATACTAATAAAAATCAAATTGTATAACTTGAAATTTTTAAAACTAATATGAAGAGAAATACAGTATACCTAAGATAAAGTTTTCACACACATCAAAACTTGCATTGTCGATTATCGTTCTTACAGTTACAATTTGTTTAAACTATCTAACAATTCCAATTTATTTCATAATTTTAATGAAAGATTTTTTTCATTTGTAACTTAATTGTTAGGGGACTTTTTTTAAAACTTAGAATGTTACCTAAAACAAATATAGTGCAAAAAACCCCGCCCTCCAAAGCTGCCGCCCCTAGACACGTGCCTAGTGTGCCTATATGTAAATCCGCCACTGCAGAAAAGGATTAAGCGATGAGCAGCGGAGGCATATTAATATAATTACATAACAAAAACCACCTTCAATTTAATTGGGATATAGGAAGATTAACGAGAGATGGGATGGAGGAGAGCTCAGATTACCTTAATTGTTAATTAGAAGGAGGAGAGAAGTAAATTATTTCTAACACCGGTTACAGAATGTGTGTTCTAAAAACGTTTCTCTCTATTAGGTCACTGAATAAAAATTACTCAATGATTAGGTGTGATTCCTGAATATTTCGACTACAAGGTTTATCTTTTATGATGAGAGACTAGATAAAAGTAGGTAGTCATACAAGTAAACATTTGATAATCGTACAATTGTTGTTTGAGTGGGCAGTTGTCTCTAATTAATAAGATACAATTTTGCTATGATATGCTCTATATTTTTGCATAACTGTCTACATTGTATTATGACACAAGATTACAAGGCCTCGCCATTCCATATCATCACCTTTTCGATCAAAATAATATTAGAAACTTTCAACTAAATATAGATAACTTTCTAAGTAATAGCACTTAGTAAAATTTGCGGTAATAACATTATATATAAGAAAATAGATTAAGTTATTCATACTTGAATATAAACTCAAAAGGACCTCCTTAACACACAGCTACTACTATATTTACATATTTCATAATATATGTATAGTGCATCAAAATGAGAGTATTGTCATTAGAGAATTGAAAATGCATGTAACACACAAAATATAGACATTGTAAAGCACTAAATCAAATTATTACTTACAGTTCTTGAATGTCTAAAACGTCTATCATTTGTGTTTAGGTCACTAAAAGTTTCATTTTCAATTCTAATTCGCAGGTACTAACTACGCCTACTAAATATTATTTATTACAGCGTGATAACGAAATTAGCAGTAAATAGGTCTACTAAGCCTATTTTCAAAGTAATGAATTTGGTAAAAAATTATGTTGTATTTGTTCTAGCCATGTTACCTATTTGTAATGAAATTGTACCTATTTTCTTGTTAATTGTATTCAGAGCGGTATGATAGTAGGCATCGTACAAAGTTTATAAACTGTTTTTACCTTGCTTGCACCTTACCTGTGAATGGTTTTAACATTACACGGGTAAAAAGTTATTTCGAAATTGTAGGTAATGCATTAGTACCTAGTGTCTATTAAAACAACTGACATTGCGATCAAGAAGAGGAAATAAATGAAATCTATTACAAATATCAGTATATTTGTGTTCTAATCCTATTTGTCCAATGGTGCTTAGGTTTCAATTTTTTTCATTTGGTTCTTTTACATGTACCATGTGTCGCGATATGTCATTGACAAAAACTATTACTAAATCTATTCCAGTCAGTCTTAAGTTATTTTACGTTAATCTACAGTAATTGTGGCGAATTTAACTTTACAGAAGCGAGTGAAAAATGTCGAAAAACTAAATTCTCCACAATTAATCTACTGCATTTGGATAAAAGTTCCAAGGTTCATCTCTACAGTATTTTGCAATACCATCAAAAATATGAACAAAACTGGAAGTAAATTTGGCATTAGTGTTTATACAGAAATGATTTTTGGTCAAGTAAATTACCAAGTGACTACACTCTACTTACAAAAACATACAAAAATATACATACTGCCTCCCATTATTACATCATGATAACGAGACAAGGAGTATTGATAAGTATGTTATGCAACTGCAACAAGTATTTGTCTTTAATCTACAACATTGAGACACTTTAAAAGGTACTTTATGTTTAAAACTACCTAAGTCCTTAGCATTACTAACTTTAGAACCTGCGTTAGTAGGTACTTTAATAAGTAAAATAATCGTTATTTCAGTCAGAATGTACGTTGTCTGTAGAAGAAACTATAGAAGTACCGCAAAAGGTAATTATAAACCTTTTCCTTGAAGAAGACACATAAATACATATTAATATTCAGCGGCTAACGAGATGGAAGCATAGTTTTATTATTAACAAACAATGTATTGTCATGTTTAGATGAATTAATAAAATATTGTTTTTTCCGCAAAATGATGATTGTAATAGTGGCAAGGTTAGTAGGTACCTACGCAATGAGCAACCTTTTTTTTCTTGATTTGAGCATCCCTTATAAATAAAATCTTTATTTGCAGATTCAGAATCATTGTATTTCCAATGTAGTTTGACTGCCAAATATTTATGATTCTTGGTAGGTTAGGTAAGGTTGCCAATTACTTTCATAACTTTGACCACTAGATCGTAAACATCGGTCTTGTTTGCGTTCTTTAAGAGTGAAATGATTGATAACCAGATTAATCTTTTTTGTTGGCAATGACATTAGTGTTCCTCTGGCCGCAGGTACAAATGTAACTAAAACTCCCTTCAGTCCATTCAAATGGCATAATAACATTTAGCCTCAATTCATATAAACTATTTACAATTTGAAATAATCTGGGCATTATGAAATAAGTTATACACACGTCTATATTCAAAATTTTGAATGTCTAAAACTAATACTAAAATTGTTGTAGGTCGGTATACTAGGCAGACGGTTCTTTTAATGTTTGGTTGGCACCACTTTGGCCCGTAACATTGCAATAGTTTGTTGAGTGACAGGTTCTGTGGGCGACTCTGAATCGGAACTTGTCCCAAACGGTACGTGGTCGATTGTAGATTTGATGTTATCGCCGCGTTTAGAATCAAACATTGGCTTTAAGTTTACACTTCCATCTGCAATTTAAAACATCTATAACGTCATTGTAAATGAATTCAAGAACATACTCACAGATCTTGTTTCCATTCCCAAAATCTGCATTATCGACGTGATATTTTGCCGCAAGTGCGGCTAACTGATCAAGTTCTGCCTCGTCGTCCTCTAAGCTTGAATAACTGCCGGTGGTACCATCTGAAGAGCCTTTTGATCGTTTATCGGCCCCTTGTTCAACTTCTTGTTCTTCTTGTTCCTCACTACTTCCTTCTGACGAATCACTCTCGGAACTGCTATTACTGCTCGAGCTGTCTTCCTCTTCCTCTTCCCCGTCACTGTTATGCTCGTCCTCGTGATTTCCATTGTCTGTGGGAATAACGATCTCATATATCCACTTATAGCGCCCTTAACAAAATGGCAGTAAATGGAAAACTTTGATACTAATTATTAAAATAGGAATTGTCAACACAACTAGATAATAAAAATGTTTTAAAATTGTGAATGCGTAGGTTTGGTAAGTTTTCCACGCCTACCCATATTGTAACACACTGTATCTGAATTAATAATAGGCTTACACTTATTTTGTTGTAATTTGGCAATAATAAGTGGGTAAAATTCCTTCGCAGTTCCATTATTAGGCTCATACTGTAAAACTGAAACAGAAATAACATTATATTACTACTATTGTCCAAAATTGCCTACTTTCTATTTATTTGATATTTTCTTTACCGTATTGAAAAATTAAGCAAGTGTATATAAGATAAAGTGGCAGTTCGATGTAGGTGTAAAATAACATAAGGTGGCTGAAAAATTTTACAATTAACTGTTAATTATTGTAATTATTACAATTACAATTAACTCAAGATTATTTACATTTCGATTTTTTTACTACAAAGTTTCTGATTGTGCTAAAATTGTTTGGAGGTAAAGCTTCCGCGGCCTTGCTAATATAATGAGATTTTTTCGCGACTGATTTGTCATGGAACCTGAAGACGTGTTACACGGTTAAAAAGCCCCAGCCTCAACCCGCAGCCTCGCTAATAATGAGTTTTTGTCGGTAGCTAATGGTGATCTCCCTCCCTATTTCACTCGGTTAATCATTTTCTTCATCAACCGTTTTTTTGTGTGGTAGACAATTCAGAAAATCTTACGATTAAAACTGCCGGTTTGTTTTTCCACCAATTTGTTTCTTCCTGACCAGCACGAGAACTCCTGATGTAACGTAAATAGTTGGCGTCATTCGTCGCGGCTTTCTGGCAATAATCCTAAAAACCAAAGACGTCTACTCGGACCCTTCCGAAACGCGACAACAGACACGCACCTCGCGATAAAGAAAACCATCCTGGCCTGGCCACTGGCGTGCCCCAAGTTTCAAAATCGCACAACAAAGAAATTGTAAGAAAACTACATGCGAAAAGAAAACATGCCAATGAAGTGACAATTCAAAAATAATTTCAAGAAGGAAAATGATCTACCAGAGAATAAAACGAACTTAGTACAGCGACAATTTGTGGAATTCGAATTTCCATCTCATTCCATCTTCGATGAGAGGCTTCAATTATCAAAAAACACACCCGGGTGATGATAGATCGCTCTGAAAAATTGAAAGTTTCTGGTTGCCGAATGGTTGTAAGGAACAAATCGTTCTAATGGCTCCATCGAGAAACGGAAGGTGCAATAATGCACAAGGATTGAACCAGCAACCACTTTACGGAAACATTTGCACCAGTAACTCGGAGAAGTTCCATTCGTTTAATGGCGTCACTTGCTGCTACACATGAGATGAAGATACGTCAACTGGACGGGAAAATCGCCTATCTGAACGGATTTCTTGTAGAGGAGGTTTACATGAAGCCACCGAAAAGCGGAATATCATCGATCCAAATGGAAAGAGTAAAGTTGGAGCAAGCGCGAAAAAGGTGCTACTAGATATCAACAAATGGACCACGGTATGTTTGTTAAAAAAAACCCTTTACGAGTTTCGTCAAGCCGCTAGGATCTCGTATACCTACCAAACTGCACGAGACTATGAAGAATTTAGGTCTCATTTCATCGAGGTCCAATCCAATCCATGTTTCATCTACATCGGTAAAGATGAAGATGTAACTCTAGTTTCGATCTACGTAATCGTGATCGCGTCACGAAACGAAAATGTATTTGAACTTATTGATGAACTGGCCTAGCAATTTTGAAATTTAGGATTAGGGCATACCAAATATTGCCTTGGGATAGAGTTCGAACAATCGAAGGAATTTCTGAGGTTATGTTCATGGCTTGCTCTCGCGATTTGATATGGAGGATTTCATTATTTCAATCCCGTTTCTACCCCGGAGGATTCAGGGCTTCAAGCTGATGATAAATGACACGCAGACTTTAGAAGATTTGAAATACCGAGAGTTTGTGGGAGCTATGACTTATCTAGCCTTAACGACATCGCCATAGATATTTCATTATCAGCTAGTTACTTAGGACAACTTAAAAAGTGCCATAATTATATAGCGTGTGTTAGAACACCCTAGAAGCGTTTGTGGAACTTTCCAGAACTTTTTCTACCGCTTACCTCTTAAACCTCTTAAACTTACTTATGCCGCCATTCTCAACTAGGAAGCGCCGAAACGCTTGAAGAAGTTAGATATCTCCGGCATAGGAAGTGCGTATATATAGCTGTAATAAGTGCATAAAGGGTGTAGGACGGGGATACTTTGGTTTCTATTCTTTTATAGGTCTTTCCGATGATTAGAAAAACCTAAAACGCTTTAGAATGCCTCTACAAAACGACTAAAAGACACTGTAACGAGTCTGGAAAGGTCTGTAACTTCAACAGTTAGAAAGCTCTCAACTATACCTAATTCTTCAAAGCGTTGGAGAAAGAAAGCTTTAAGCGTTGGAAAAGGCCTACAATGCTCTTAAAAGGCTTCGGATACTATAAAATGAGCATATAACTTCTATAAAAAATTTAGAATTACCTACTTACCTTTTTTTGTTTACTTAAAGTTAGTAGATATAAACTAGGTACTTACTAAGTTTGCAATACTTTAACGCCGTCTCGTAATCCTTTAACATGACTGCCGACAAGAACTGAAACAGAATTAAGTACTTATCAGTATTCAGTACTCAGCTTGACATTCAAATATGGTGGGATTAGTGAAGCACTGTTACTAATTATGATGTTAATAATTGAAAACCAGGAAGAATTTGTAATGCAAAATTCAAAGCGAATGCGGCGACCCAAATAACAATTGTATTCCGTATAACTTCCGTTGCACGTCATCATTTTCTAAGACGTAATTACTATGCAATAATGCCAAATCTAGTTTTGTCGAGCGATTTAGGTTCTGTCACTTGTAAACAAGACAGTGTATTGTTTATTTAAATGAAATAATAGTACATTATATATCAGGGTAGAGAAGTCCACTATTATTGCCTGAGCACCAAGATTACATCTCGAGGCGCTTGCGCCGAGGGGTGTAAGGTGCGAAGGCAATAATAGACTTCTCTACCGTGGTATATATACTATTTTTTCACTACTAGCACTCTAAATCCTCTAAATTAACATATTATATTGATAAGAGAGTTAACGGTTGGACAGAATTGTTTGTTTCTTAATTTAACATGTCAATCAAGTACGTGGAAGTACAAGTCAAACAGGCCGTATTTTGTTCTGTCATTGAGATTTTTCAAAGAGTAATTTCGTTCGAATTTTTCCAAAATGTGATAATTTTAGGTATGTAATTTCTCTGGAAATTGCGAATGGTGGCAATTATTCGTTTTAGAGAACTTGTCTAAACGTTCATTGAGCGAAATTTCGGGTTGTGACTTGTGTTTTCTAAAAGTGACAGCGTGACAGTTCTCATTATTGACTACTAGTTAATAATAAAAAATTATTAACCACTTTGAACAAATGCCGAAAATGCCTACTTTACAAGTGGAAAAAAGGTTAATAATCATGTCATCAGACGCTAGTAGTGAAAAAAAATACTTTTTTCTCCAACCACCTGAATAAGACGCTATTTTGTGACAGTGTTCGGTACCTAAAATTGACGTTTTGCGGATTAATCGCTTTCACCATGGCAACTGTACAAAAAGTGGATACTTTTGGCCCTAGTACCAAAAAGAAATTGACCTCGAAAGTTGGCCAATTAAAAAATTACAATCACGGAGATATGTCACATTGACATCGTTTTACATTGCAGGTTATAAGATATTTCTATACATACAAATCAAATATTTTTGCATATTCAATGCAAATAATGATGTTACCTATACGTATGTACATGTATTGAAAATGATTTACGCTCCCTATTTTTGTTTAAACCATGTGTAACGTAATTTACATATTCGATGAACGTAATTTTAATACGTATACAACCCGCCGTCGCGCGTAACGCCATCTACTTCAGACCCATTGCACTATTATCTGTCATTTTGAAATCAAAATTTGAAAAAGTTAATTGCAATTAATTTTAATTAAAAAACTGTATGGTAAGTTTTTTATTTCAATGCAAAATATAACAATATTTATTGAGTATACAATAAAATGACTGAAACTGATAGCGACATGGATTGCACTCCGCCAGACATTATAGAAACGGCAGAACATACTACCTCAAGATTTGCTCCCTACAAAGTCGCGAGAGGTGAGAAGTAAGAAGTAAGAACGAATAGGTTATAAGTTAACCTAAAAACTAGAGTGGCATGACACGTGAGGACAAGAAAGCAAAAGTTCTTATACTATAGTAGTGAAACTGTGACTGAATCTAAATTCGAATATAATTTGAAGTAAAGGGGGTTGGAGAAAAAATTTTATGTTTTATTCGTAAAAAAAATGCGTTTTCGGGACTCGGAAGGTTGCTGGACTCCGCTAACGCGTCGTCCAGCAACTATCTTCCTCGTCCCGAAAACTGACATTTTTTGTACTAATGAAACAAATAACTATTTATTATTCATTTCGTTAATTGGAACCATAATAACATACAATATACTTTATGTCTTACTAACCATCATAGCACATTTTATATCTGTGATACGCGGGCATAAAGTAGTGACAACTGCCACCAGTGAAAGATAATTTTCTACCCGGAGCCGGCTCAAAACTTATTTGAGAAATACCATCAGCGAAAATCGCCTCAATGGTCTAGCTTTGTTGAATATTCACAGGCATTGCTGTAATCATTGAGGAAGTGTTGGATGAACTTGCTCTCAAAAAAAGGAAACTTCCACTCCGTCTGTCTAACTTCATATTTACTTCTTTATACATTTATTACTTTATTATTACTTCATATCTAATATGAATCGAAAATATGTTTTGTTTGAGTTTGATATTATATTTATACTTATTCTATTCAAAATAAATTCTTTGATAATACTTATGAAAATAATCGTTTGTTTAACATTCATTCACAAACTGGAGATATCCTTTCGTTCTAAACTGAGTTCCTATGCATATTCCTCCTTCCAGATTAGTTTAGAACCTGAAATTGTAAGACTATACTTACAAATCAAGCAAATTCCCAGAAGCACTAAAATTGATGATTCAAATAACCTGCTCGGCGCGAATATCCTAACCCCCCCTCGGCAACATTCTGGATACGCTAATGCATACAAGTCATCAAACATAATGAATTATTTTGTAAACTAATATTTACTTGAACGAAGACAACTATTTGTAAAACATAAAATTTTGTATGTACCACGGGCATAAACTGATGTTTATACCAAAGAGTACCCGACTCATTGTTTATACTCCCGGGCGACTAAAAACTCTCGGGCCATAGGCCCTCGAGCTCTTTAACTCGTCGCCCTCGAGAATATAAACATCACTATTATGCCCTTAATACATAAATAACTAATATGCCTACATTCCCATTTTGAAAAAAAGCTGTATTCTGTTTCTGGATTCTGGATTACGATAGGAGAGTGAACAGTGTCCACGCGTACTTAGGCTTCAAATTCGGGCCCTTTGTACTACCTCCCTGACTAGGGTCGCCCGACCCCTCAACATCACTCAAGCCATCCCACACGTGAGATGAACCTTAGGACGCTGAAAGGGGAGGCGGCTCTAATCGTAGCCATGTCCGGCCAGGATTCCCCCAACATGGATCGTCTCAGTTGGACTAGAGCGGGACATTCACAGAGTATGTGGTATGCCGTCTCGTCGTCTGTGTAACATCCTCTACAAGATGGTGATTCCACCAAACCCATGCAGTGCATGTGCTTGTTTAGTTTACAGTGCCCAGAAAGTATGCCCACGAGTAACCTCAGGTTCTTCCTTGATAGCCCTGTACAAAAACGCGCCAAGCTACGAGATGGTCCTCTGAAGGCTTCTCTCGCATGGCGACAATCTAACATCAAGTTCCACCTAGCCCTGTGCTGGGTTTGGGTGTCTTGAGTTATTAGGTTGTTTACAGTTGTAACTGTAAGTGGAAGAGCCGGCTCTGGACCATAAAACGCCTGTTTTGAGGCCAGTCGGGCTAATTTATCGGCTTTCTCATTACCTTCCGTTCCAGCATGCCCTTTGACCCATACGAGCTCAAGGGTGTTGCTGCTTGCTACTTGCTCTAGTACGTGGTGACATTCGGAAACCATCCTAGAGGTAATTTTACAGTGACCAAGTGACTGCAAGGCAGCCCTGCTGTCACTTGAGATTCTGATAGTTTTGTTCTTTATGTTATGCATAAGAACTGTTCTTGCACTAAGCGTTAATCCTACCAACTCTGACTGGAATACAGTAGGAAGTTTACCTAGTGGTTGGGTGATATGGAAGTTCAGTTCTTTGGAGTAAATACCAGTGCCTGTACCTTCCATTGTCTTAGATCCATCCGTGAAGATGAATATATCTGGTTGGGATGCCTGTATTCTGTTTGTACGACTATCTATATAATAATAGGTAATTAGGCTTTTAACACTTATGCCAGGGTAAAGGGTGACATAATCCTCCTAAGTTTATTGTTAGGGACACGTATGGCAGTTCTATAACACTATACGATAAAAACCCATCTTATCCAGCTTTTAGAACCATTTTAACACGATTATAGGATTCATTGAGCGTAAGTACAGCAGTAAATTTCCGAAGCGAACTTTCATCTATGATCTTCATCCTTAAATCTCATAGTCCCGTTTATAATAGTGCCACTAATCACCTAAGCTGATATCATAAACCTTCAATAAGCCTGCCAGTAATAAATTTTGAGCAAAAGCCCCGTCTTATATTTTACAATGGGCGGTCGCCCACGTGCACTTTAGTTAGCATAACCTAGTACATATCTACCTATGCAATATCCCAAACTGTATAATTTGAAATAATGCTTGAAGCTTTTCCAACTTGAAAATGCAAACGTTTTAATTAAATTGTCCGTATAGCGTCTTCCACACTGACGGTTATGAATAGTGCGAAATGGAAATGCGCCCCAGTTTGTATTATACGAATATGAAACAATATAATAATCCTACAACCGAGCGTTCCAAAGCAATAAAAAGGATGCTCACCTCAGCTAAAAACTCCGTTGGAGCGGAAATACTTTCGTCGGCGTCCGTATATTCGCTGAGGTCTTCGCTACTGGATGTGGGCTTCAAAAGACTTACGTTGCCATTGTCCTCTGTCATTTTGGTAGGTATCTGGAAAATAAAGATATTCCCTTAGGACTTTCTTTGTTTTCACATTTTTCTGGTATTTGTACATACGGATACTACCTATAATACAGTAGGTAGATACCTTTTATTGCATCTGTCTAATGACTAATGTTTGAATTTATTGATTGAAATATATTCCGATTTCCGAATCGTTAACAAAGAAAATGTCTCGTGTTTATCTTAGGCTTGAATTTGAATATAAAGTTATATCACCCTATAAAGGTAACATAAGGGGTATACCATATATAGCTTCATTTTACTCAGCTACTACCTACCAAATTCAAACATAGCTGTGTATACGTTTTACTACAAAAGTACTCGTACAAACCACAGTCAGCCGGAATCAAAGCGAAGTCCATGTAAAACAGAGTAGTATTGGCAGAACGGAAATCGACATGGCGTATAATTAACTACTAATTTAGTACCTACCCTAATTCCACAATTTGAAATGTGTTGCTTATTTTTGTTCGGAAAGTTATTTCGTTTTGTTTCGTGAAAATCAAACACGATTTCTTTAGAGTGTATAAACATTTTATTAAATAACTTAGATATTTTATATTTTGCTCCAATATCTTTTGCCATCTTTCGGGCAGGGGATTTCACGCTCATAAAACTTGTGGCAAAAAAAAACTTGTCCAAGTGATATCTGACGTCCTGATTTCCAGACTCAAGTGAAGGTTTTTTCGTCTAAAAAATGTTGTAGAGAACGGAACAAGTAATAAGAACCAAATCTGGAAAATATAGTGGGAGTGGTAGTACATCCCATTCGAGCTGTAAATACTGTTGGCGAGGTACCAAACTTCTGTGAGATCTCGAGATCTCGCATTATGATGGCAAAGACTATACCTTTTCTAATTATGAATTCTGGCCTTTTCTGTTCAACTTGTCCAGTTGACCATAGTACACTTCAGAAATAATCGTGGTATTGTCTGGTAGAAGCTTAAATAGTATACGAAGAGACAAGTGTATAATCATTGGTAATCAAGTCTTTAAGATACGCGCATTGAGTTTTTAAACGTTGCAAGTACTTTATTAGTCTCTTATAGTATTTCTTTTATTATATCTACAATATAATTTAAAAACAAGGGAAATACAATGAAATCATATTGACGTTATACTGGAATACATGTGTAATTAAGTGGGCTGTTTATTCGCAATTCCATGATTGCGATGGAAATGTTATTTGATAATACAACAATCGCAATTTTTTGTATATAAATGAACTTCGGTTGAAGAAGATAATACACCGTTCATTCAGTGACTTGTTGCAAAAGCAGAAGAAAAGTTGGTATGTGCAAAATCCAGCAAAGCCTATTATAAAGAATATGAAAGGTTGTTTTCCTGGATGAATAGGAAGCATCTTACGAGCATCCATTGACGATGCTAGCATATATGAAGGATATGTCAAAAGTATTTAAATCTTCTATCATTTGGTGCATTCATTCAAAACTCTGCGATTAAGACATGAAACAGATACATACCCTAAATTACACGCGTCTGTGAAAGTTTCAAACACAAGATAGGCATAAGTCAAAATGTTTTGAGTTACAGCCTGTTGTGATAGCACTACATAAATGCTTGTTACTCTTGGTAATACTACCGTTTACCGTCGATGAATTTTTATTCGTGTGTAAGGAGGAAGAGAAAATCTGTGCGAAGAGAACTTTGCAAAAGACCTCGCAGGAATTGGGTTTATCTGAAATGGAATCTGGTACTCAGGTTTAAAAAAACTTTCACAACCTGCTTGTGGCGAATCGTTGGAATCGGGGACAAACCTAGCGGGTGAAACCTATTCTCAGCGAATCAAGATGTGCGGAGGAAGAATTCTTGCATTCTTTAATTTTGGAGAGGTTATAAACAGGATAACTGAACCAAATTAAGTCGGTTAAGGAGGAACAATATACGAGTATGTCTAGTAATATTCCTATATTGTTAGATACAGGAGACATTGTTAAATGTCAATTTTTTTGGTACCTAATGAGAACGGCACCTCCAGGTTTTTTAAAAATAAAAAATTGAAGTACCTAAATTTATTGAAACGTGGAAACGTCACACTTCAAAATGGAGGGTTGATTTCAAGTCTTTTAAAGAAACATAGGTTTATGGCAACAACAGATATTATGGACGTGTCCCATCTATGAAGATTCTAGAAAATTCTTATGACTTGTTTCTCTATTAGTCGAGGCGCAAAATGGGACGAAGCTGAAGAGGTGACGCAGCGTGAGTCGCGGTGACTTTCGTCAGGAGAAAACTGCGACTGCGGTTACCACGAAAATCGGACAGTTTTCACTTTGCAGTAGGTCCCGCCGCAGTACAAAAATGACAGCCTGCTTTGTAGCGATTAATGTTTGAGTAAACTATAATAGATTACAATAATGAATAAGCTTTTATTCAATGCCAATAACAATATTATGTAGGGGAGGATCAATCTGAAATGTAAGATCATAAGGAATAATAAATAAAGTAAAAAATGTAGTTTAATCTAATAAGAAAACAACAAGAACTGTTCTAACCACCATTATCTTTACATAATCAACAATCAAACTTTACCTAGCTCCATATAAGGATCTAGTAAATATGACAACACTGTTCAACTCTGATAAACAAGGAAAACAATAGGCCCCTAAGTATAACTGGTTTCTTACTGCCCGAGGCCAAATATCCTTCAATATTTGTGGTAATAACCACTTTGCAGTGTATGCAACACACCTTACACCAATTTCAGGTTTTCCTATGTAGTTATACTTCTTTAAGGTGCTTATTCAATGGCCTAACCAAATGTAAGTAAAATGCATTATTTGTTTCGTGGAAGAGAGACAATTTAAATTAATTTAAACTTTTATCTGTTTTTTCCTTTTTCGTTGATTTTGCAGATATTTCAGTTAAAGGATCGCTCACTTCTTACCCGATGAGTGGCAACAAAAATTGCAAGATTTTATAAGGGTATGTTTAAGACACGTTGTAACAGGTGGCCGCATTGCCATTTCAAACATTTAGTTTTGAATTTGTATTTTGTTAAACGTAGTGTTCGTGCACGACCTAATTTTCATACAATTCTGTCATTTACTTTATTTTAAATTTAACTTTACGCGTGCTCAAAACATAACTGTTTCAAACAAAGTGACATGCGCACAATAGGGTTTTATAAAGCATAGATAAAAAGGCCAATCGTAATCTTCTTACATAAAATTATTAACGTATACATACTACTTCCTTACGGCTTTGAATATAAAAAGCTTACAGTCCACGTTTATTTTGTTTTCTTATGTGAAGATATAGGGCAATTTACACATATACTGCTTCATATCGAACATAAACAAAAGTATGTTTGGCGATAACCGACGATAACAAATATCGTGTTGGAGAAAGTGAACGGGGTTGCCACTACCTCTTCGAATGTAATGCTGCATCCACACGCATTTTAAATTTTTTCATATGTATAAGTTAGGAATTTTGTTCGAACCAGTGGCGAAGCTGTGGCCGTACCCTTACGGGCACTACAACACCCAGTTAGTCCCCCCCTCCTCCCCATAACCTCCTCAATCCAAAAAATCCATCACATTGTTTGGCATATGCCGCGGCTCAACGTAATAGCTACAGGGTGGGGCACGGGAAACTCCCACATTTCAAAAGGTTGTTAAAAAAAAACTAATCGAGATAATGAAACAAGAATTTATTTATCAAAAAGATTACCTCATGTAGTTTTTTCAAACTACGTTTTAAAAATAATATCGTCTAAATGATGGCCTTGCCGGGCAATACAGATATTGAGCCTTTCGTGGAAGTTTCGCATGACTTTCTCAAGTGTGGTGGAGGTTATCTGGGCGATTTCTCCCTCGATTGCGGTTTTGAGGTCTTCCAGGGTCCTTGGACGATGTTTGAAAACCTCGGCCTTGAGGTAACCCCATAGATAAAAATCACAAGGGCTTAAATCGGGGGAGCGCGGGGCCACTGAATGGGCTCATGCAAGGAGACCACCTGCCCGGGGAACATCTCCTGGAGAATAGCGCGTGAACGACGGGCTGTGTGTGCTGTAGCACCATCTTGTTGGAACCAGAAGCTCTCACGTTCATGTTCCTCACCGAATTCTTCGATTTTTGGCCTCAAAAAATTCTCAAGCATGTCACAGTACCGATCAGAGTTCACAGTAATCGTGACACCACCCTCCTCAAAAAAATAAGGCCCAATGATGCCTACAGACGACAGTGCACACCAAACTGTGACCTTGGGGCTGTGAAGGGGTCTTTGGTGAAGCTCTCGAGGGTTCTCAGCTGCCCAATAACGGCAGTTTTGCTTATTCACACACCCTGACAGATGAAAATGAGCTTCATCGCTAGTCCACAAAACCGCAGTGGGAGGCACTTGTTGAAGGATCGCCTCACAACATTCCACACGTCGCCCCCAGTCTGTTGGGGACAATTCCTGGGCAACCATGATCTTGTAGGGGTGCAAATTGAGGTCAGTATGCAAAATCCGCCTCACTGTTCTCGCCGAAATCTGAAGAGCAGAAGCATGTTTTCTCGCAGAACGCGTAGGACTCTGTTCGATCGACGCCCTCACTCGAGCAATGTTTTCAGGGGTTCTAACGGTGACAGCTGGGCCTTTCTTCTTTGAATTTAGCGCAGATCCTGTTGCTCTAAACTTTTGCACCCAAGACAAAATTGTTTTCCGGTCGGGAACACTAGCAGACGACGACAAACTGTACCTTGTACGGAATGCCCTCAAAGTAGCAGTTACAGATTCACCATTTTTGAAAAAAGTCTCGATAATGAACGCACGCTGCTCACCTGACCACGGCATGGTAACGACTGAAAACTACATCACTCACCGCTCCGAACGAGACCTACCCCACTCCTCTACAACCGCCCATATCCCAACAGCAGTTTTTTTTAATGTGGGAAGTTCCCGTGCCCCACCCTGTACAAGAGGTGGAGATGCACCCCAGTTAGTTCCTACCAGGGACACATCCCCACGACAGTTGACTA